TTTAGGGGGGAAAAGTTGACAAGAGGAGAGAGAAGGTGCTTAGTGGAACTCACTAATTATCTGGCTGTTGGTACTTGGGCTGCTTGAAGGAGGGCAGGGTTTTGGCTGAACGTGGTTTGCACAAGTTGGAAGTTGCTAGTCCTTGCCTGATAAACCCTATTAAGTCTTGTGTGAACTTGCTCATCCCTTACATATACCTGGCCTAGACTAAAACCAAGAGCAGCCCTATCTTTTTGGATCTGTTTATTCAAGATTGAGTGTTTAAAATGTTCTTCAAGATGGTAAAGTTGGGGGCAACAATTTCTCCCTTTCAGGGCTGCTGTTTTGGCTGTGGTAAGTTCACTGCAAAGCTGAGCACAATTATTTGGACTGTGCCAGCAACACGCTGGTTAAAACCAGGATGGCTGAAAACTGAAAAAGGATCTTCATTTCTAATGAGCATTTTCACAGTGGTGCCTGAAGAAAAGTGTTGGGTTTCAGTGCAATTCTCATGGCTCGTGTGCGAGCACAGCAGTTGTCTGCAAATGCCTGCTTCCAGGGATTTGTACCACTGCATTTTTTCCTACTTCTATAACTTGCATTTTGAAGATTGTTTTTAATGAAAATAGCCATCCTCAGTCAAGTGAGAAAGGTATGTGAAACTGTGCTGAGCTCAGCTAAATTCTTGATGTTGCTCTCCAGACATGTGGAGGAGGCAGGTTTTTCCAAGAGCTTTTTTCCCTACTTTGAACTCCAGTCTAAGTAAGGATTTATTTTTTTTCTTGAGGGGAGAAAATACCAACAAATGAGAACAATTAATTTCTGACTGTAATTTCTCTACCTGCAGTCTGTTATGAAGGAGGAGGGCAGTGCTGATGCAGCTTCTCATGCTGTTGTTCCCTTATTGCAATGGTGATAACTGCTTTTTCCCGTTCCTGTCTGCCAGCCAGCGTCTGCAGGGGAGTATCTTCCAGTACATCGTAACTTCATTTCAAATCCCATTTATCTATTGACCCAATTATTGGAACAATCTTTGGGGAATGATGATTTCTTATTTTTTGTTTTTAATGGGGTTTGCCCACTGGGAAGTTAATCGTTGCTCATTCTCTTTAGGACACTAAAAGGCCACCGGACTGCTGCTTTGGAGAAGATGTAGTGAGTCAGTGGAGAGCAGGATGGGACTGGAATAGCAGACAGTATGTCTCAATCCAGAGATCTCAATGCACAGACACCAGTTTCTGGTGTTTTCAGAAGGGCTTGTGAATAATGAATCTGGCTTGGTATAGCTGTGGATCAACGGAGAAGATGCTGATATGACTCGGGGCATCTTCATGGGATGTTCTGGAGGGGGGATAGATAGATGCTCTTTTCCCATGCTGGGTACAGGGGTGACCTTCCCAGGGACATATGTCTCCTTTGAATTCAAGGTTTCTAGAGCCAAGGATGATCTATCTTTGTTATTTTTTCCTCCCCATAAATGCTTGTTCTAAGGATCCAGGTCTTCTGATAAAGCCCAATTAACTTGTGGCTCTCCCTGAGCCCTTTTCATCTCGCTGCCTGTGGGAGGAAACCTGCTGCTGGGTGTCTGCTGCCTTGTCGCAGCAGCTCATAACAGGTGGCTGCTCTTGGAAAGTTCTTGCCCACCCCCCATCCCAGTAAAACTCTCCTTAAATAACCTTACATCAGCTGTAGCTGTTACCTCTTTGTGGGTGAAAATAGTGTGGTGGGGGGAGCCATGGTGGTTCTGTTTAGTTTTTGTTACCCTTCAATGTTTTTGAAGAGTGTTTATTTACTTAACTGTGGAAATGCCAGCTTGTTCCTATCCCATGGCTAAAATAACCCCCATTTAAAATACCTGCATTTGAAGCTGTTGTAGTTCTTGACAGCCCTGAAAGCAAATTTGCTTTAGAAAAGGCACTGATGTTCCAGCCACAGAAAAGTGGTTTTCAGTGGGAGTACTTGAATTTTTAGAGAGTCTCATTTCTAGAAGAGCAGCCATGCGAAGCTGCATGGTGTCTTGAAGGGGTTTTGCTTTTGCAGTGGCCTGAAGATGTGCTCCAGTACAGAGGTTGCAGCGTGCCCCCTTCTGCTGTCACTGCTAAAGCAAGGTAGGAAATGAGCTGCTTGCGTATCTGTCACTGGTGTTATATAATCCCATAATTATCCTTGTAAGTAACAGCTTCCAGCTCCTCTCTCCAGCCTGGGTTAAGTGTCCCATAATTGCAGGATGTGCCATGGGCATAGTTACAGGCGATGGATGGGAAATAGTTTTTAAAGACCTCTGAACATTTACTTCCTAAGGCCCAACTCTTAAAATGCTTGAGAAGGGGAAAAAAATCAGTTCCTGTGGGAAGAAAGAGATGTTGGGAATTTTTTTTTTTTTTTTTTTTTTTTCAGTTTTACCATGGGTGTCACAATGTTTTCCATGTCACAGCTGTGTTTGGAAGAAGGGGACAAGAATGCACTTGCTTCTTAGGCATTAGTGCATGGCAGCTTTCTCTTGTAAGAGTAGCTAGAAGTATTAGTGTAAGGGACATGTGTTAACCCCCCTTTTTTTGTTGATCTGGATGAACTCTGCTCCGTGGCTGAGATGTTCTCCAGAGGGGAGCTCTGGAGATGTTCTCCAAAGGGGACCTGTCAGAAAGCTCTCATCTGCTCTTTCGAAACCCTCTGTTGAAACCAAGGTCCAAATGCTCGGAGGAGGGATTGAGATGTGATACAGAAAGTTCTGTGGCGTTCCTCTGTGCAAACTGCCCATCTGTCTCCTGCGTCCCATGAGCCAGCGGTTCTCTTCCAGGGATTTGGTGTGGGCTGGTGTCACTGGGTCCTTGTAAGGTTTTGTTTCTAAAGATAAAACTCTACCAGTTTCTCTACTTTTGAGAAACACAAAAGTAGGGGAGACGGAAAGAAACTAATTGGATCGTGATGTTAAATTTTTTTGTGGTCTCTTCTGCAGTGATGAGTGGCTTTGACCAGCACTTTGATGCTGCCAGAGGTGAATTTTCACAAGGCCAAAAATATTAATTTTATGGGTCTCTTAAAGCACATTTCATCTTCTGCAAGGGCGTTTCCTCATTTGAGGTGAAAGATGCACGCTTCCCCTGTCTTTTGGAGAGAGGAATGGGTTAAAAATGGTAAACCTGTGATATGTTTTGAGGCAGGCCAACCAGAACCAGGGCAGTTCTGGTGGGGAGGAGGGGGAGGCTTGGACAATGGGCTGTTGCAGCGTGGTGCCTTTCCTTGCTCGGGCTTCCCAAGGTTTCCAAAGCAAGTGCTGTGGGTGGCGATCACTGGGGACCAGGTACCTTCCCCAAACCACCCTTGGGTGGGCACTTGGTGGTAGAAACAACTGTGGGAATAAAGGTGAAAGGAGGGAGAGTGTTGCAGGAGGAGGTGCTGAGGTTGGCCGTGACCTTCACAAACATCTCCAAAATGCCCTACCAAAACGTCGTGTTTCTTTTCCACTGCGGTAAAGGCTATAAGGGAGAGAGGCTGAGCAGCTCTGATCCCTTTGAAGTGTATGCTCCTGGTTTTCATGGGTTGGTCTGCATTGCCATAGCCGACTTGCACTGTATTAAGTGCCTCATCCCTGGCTCAAGCGTGCTTCAAACCTGTCTCCTAGCGATTTCTTTTACAGATGACTAAGGGGGGGAAATAAAATGGCATTAAGAAAAGCCATTGGCTCCTTGCATGCGATGGGGCGGTGGGAGGAGCCTGTGTTACCTGCCAGTGCTGCCTGCACAAGGGTGCAGGACCGTGCTTTGCCCTGGGGATGAGGTACCCAGCATGGTGGTCCCAATGCCCAGCCACTGCTTCATGGTACGTCCCACCACTTGTTCCCATGATAGCAGAGCACACCCTGGGCACATTTATCCCTGCAGCATGCCGACGATGAAGGAGGTGCTATTCTGACTGTATGGATGGGAAATGTGGGCTCAGGGTGGTGTAATTTCTGCCTCAGAGAAGTGACCCAGGAGACACATAATGAATTGTTTATGCTGTTAACCATGAGTCCCTGATAACATGACATTACCCACGCCATCCCATCCTTCCTCCCAATGGCCTGTGCTGCTCTCATGCTTTCCATCACTCACCATCCCCTTTCTTCCCGCAGACCCCAACAGCGAGAGCCCAGGGTTCTCCAGTGACCTGGCGGGACCTGGTGCAGAGGATGCAACCACTGGAGTCCTATGTGGAGCAAACATGGCATATATTGTCACCTACAATTGCCACTGACTTCATCATGTAGTCAAAGGTCTGACCCAAATGCATTTAGATGGTGTGGGTTCCAGAAGTTGGGTAATGACAACACCATGGGGTCATTTTGGTGGAGCTGGGAAAGATCCTGTTCCCGTTATGCGTGGTACCAGCAGGAGGAGTTGAAATGTCACTGTTGCTAAAATGCCACCTGCAGACCAGTGGCACATGCAGTTGGTGCCACCACCAACAAACAAGGCGAGGTCTTACTCAAGACAAGGACAGGGAGCAGTACGCAAGCCAGGCTTTCAAATTGGCCAAAGATGGATTTTGCTGTGGCTTAGAGTGGCTTTGCCCCAGAGAAATGGGAACCCTTTGCATGGGTTACTGGCTTTCTAAGAGTCCCCTTGTGTCCCAGGCTTTGGGATTGGGGCAGTAGATTGCATTTTATGGTGCCAAGCAGAAATGAAATAAAGGTTTTTCCTTCTTCTGGAAGACCTGAGCAGCTCTGGGGAGCTGCTGCGGCCTCTCAGATAAGAATGCTGGGGGTTGGAGGCTCAGCGACCACGTGACGGAGATAACACTGGGACCTGCTTGCTGGGACAAACAACTCGTTGGCTGATCCAGGTGCAGGTGAGTCCATCCGCTCCTTGTGGCAGCAGGCATTGGCCTGCAAAGGAGAGGGCAGCATGTGCCATGTTTCCCAAGCCTGTTGGGCTGTGCCACGTTTGCTTACGCATGGCTATATAAAAAGGAGGTGCAGAAGCTTTCTCTGCTCCTTCCCAGGGTTTGGTTCAATCTCTGTCCCCTGCACAGCCTTGGCTATGGCTGGCCTGAATGTCTCCATTGCTTTTTTTTCCCTGGTTGTTGGGGTGTGCCAGGTGCTCAGGCAGCTTTCCAAGAGGCTTCTGTCTCCTGGAGCATACGGCTGCCTTGCCAGAGAATTTGCTGGCTCGTTACAGTTGTGCATGAGCTGCCTTGAGCTGAGGATGCTGTTGGAGATCGGTCTGTGGGGTGGTGGTTTTGGCCCAGATGTGGTCCTGACTCTGCTCTTCCTCCTCTTCGTGGTTCATGGTGCCTCTTTTGATGGAGCATCCGCCAACCCAACCATCTCTCTCCAGGAGTTCCTGCTCCTTGAGTCCAACCTCACCGCAACTGCTGCCAAGCTGCTGGCCCAGGGTGTGGGCATGGGGATGGGATGGGCTGTCACCAAGCTCTACTGGTCCTGGGAGCTGACGCATTTCCACCTCATCCAGAACCTGATAGCATCAGAGTGCAGCTCCTCCATCCATACCTCTCTGCACCATGCTGCCTTTGTGGAAGGCACCTGCTCTTTCTTTTTCCACCTCGTCCTTCTCAAGTTGTGCCAGAGTCACCTGATGTACCGGGTCCCTGCCCTGGCAGCGACTGTCACCTTCCTGACCTACACAGGTGAGCAGCACCTGCCTTTCTTTTTCTAAGAAATTAAGAAAAATACCTTATTTGTGGGGGAGGAACTGTCCCTCTTTCATCTTCCAAGACTTAAGAGATAATGATTACTAAGATATTTGTTTTCTACTTATTTGAGGGAATATTCATTTGGGGATGAAGACTGCAGTTTAGGATATCTAGGCAGCAGGTGAAATGTTGGCACACGAGAAGCCACGGCTTGCCCCAAGACTGGGAGCACTTTCTTTGAACGTCCCCTAATGCAACCCTTTGGTCCGGCACTGAGCTCTTCTTCCTGCAAAGCTCAGGGTGACAAGGGTGGGATTTCCCCTTGTGCTGCTATTACACAGTCCAAGAGATGCAGCTGCCAGAGCCGGGCAGCAGCAGAGATGCTCCTGGCAGGCAGGAGGGGTCACGGGTCTCCTGGCCCAACTCTTTGTCAGTCTTTCAAAGGATGCAAGCGAGACTGATGGCCATGCTTCTCTTCCCATGCAGCTGTACCGTTCACGGGGGCCTTCTTTAACCCTGCTCTGGCTGCAGCCACCACCTTCCACTGCTCGGGGAGTAGCTTTTGGGACTACATCCAGGTTTACTGGCTGGGTCCCCTTACAGGTGAGATCTGCCTAGGAGGTACCGGGGGGCAGGGGTTGGCATGGGGGGCAACGGGCAAGGCAGAAATGCTGGGTGTAACACAAACCATTCCTGGCAAAGGGCTAAACTTGTGTCTTGCCAGTGGCAAGTGTCCTTTTCTGTCCCCCTTCCCTGTTGCTTGAGTCATCCCTTTGCTATCCGATTTTTTAATGCAATTTCTATGTGGGGCATAGGCAAAAACTCTTCCTGAGGCCAAAGTTTGGGGGAGATGAAGCAAAGATGTTTTAGGGCAACGATTATCTGACCTATGCTATTGAGGTTGTCCACAGCTTCAGGATGACCACGGGGAGTCGGATACATGCTGCCTAGAATGCAGAGAGCCTGGACAGAAGACTGCTGGTGTCGTTTACGGCCCTTTGGAGCCAAAAAAAGCCTTGCTATGAAATTAAGGACACAATGGTTAAATTCTCCTTAAAGTAATATAGCAAGGGTCTTTCAGATACTGTTAGTGGGGACTTCAGTGGTGCTGAGCTAGATTTTGGTCATGATGAAAGTTGTAGCAAGGGCCTGAAAATGACTGCTCAGCCGTGGAGATGCTCGATGTCGCACACCAAAGGGATCCGTGCTCTCATTTCAGGGATGCTCGCTGCCCTTTTGCTGTACCAAGGCAACATCCCACGACTCTTCCAGAAAAACCTCCTTTACAGCCAGAAGAGCAAATACAAGATACCCAAGGCAAGGATGGTGGCGCAGGTAGAGGGTGACAAAGTGCAGCAGAAGAGGAAAGGGGAGAAGAGCAACTCCGAGCCTTGTGCCTGAGCTGTGGATGGAAGCCAAGGAGGTCCCTGCAGCCCCTCTCCTGGGAGTGGGTTTCCTGGCGTGGAGGATTTTGCTGCTCATCCAGCCCAGCACCCATCCTGCCCATTCGGTCACTGCCACAGGGTGAGATTTTGTTTTTTAAAGCATCGCAAAGGAATTGGCCAAGCTGACCTTGCAGGATGTCTGAATCCCTGAGCTCCTTTGGGAATAGCTTTGAAAGTCTCCCTGGAGAGCCTGAAATGTTTCAAGCCTGCATCGCTGGCTCAAGCGGGGGGAAAAAAACCTAACACTTTTGCATAAATTGCTGGTTGTCTTGTATTGCCAGGAAGCTTGCAGAAAGTCAGGATCATTATGTGGGTAGGCTTGAGCAACTCCTAGATTATTGTATCGTGCAATGCTTGAAATAATCTGACTGGGTCTTTTGCAGCCATAAAAACAAAGCATAAACAAGTAACTGCCTTGGAAACTTGGGATGAGGAGGAAGCAGGCTTTGATCTTTCAAGTTACTAAATGGATATTGGTCAAAAATTGGTGTTCTTTGAGTTAAACTGAGGTCCTTGAATTGCATAAGCTGAACCTGGCAGTTCTTGGAGAGGAATTAAAAGTGCTCCGGGGCAAGGGAGTTCAGTGGCCACAGGACACCCTGCTCCTCTGTGAATGCAGCTTTTAGCCTGGCTTTTGTGTGCTGTAAAGCATCAAGAAACAGTACACAAAGTGTCTGTGGTTAAAAAACGAGACCCAGACTGCTGGTGTGCAGCTGGTGTAGGTGAGCAAGTGCATCCCAGGGCTCCTCTCCGTGTCTACGTGAAATATTCCTAAAAATAAAATTACAGTTTGTGGAAATAATAATAAAAACATATGTTGTGATTGGCATTTGGGTGAGTGATGTCATTCCTGTGAGCTCTGCCAGGGGGAGATGAGCCCATCTGATCCCCAAAAACAGGAGATGCCATGGCAACATCCAAACTGACTCTGCCCTGCCTGCCGCTTGCTCTGGAAGGGCGGTAATCTGGGTGGAAACACCTGCTAGGTAAACGGGGCTCCCCCCAGGCAGTGCCAGGGCCAAGGCACCCATGGGTGCTGCACACCGGGGGTCCCTCCACAGGGAAGAGCAGGGGCAGGGGCAATCCCATGTGCAGCATCCCTGGAGCAGGGCTGCTGGGCATGGCTGGATACTGAGCTGCTGCCCAGATGTCTCCCCCGTCCATGCTGAAAATGGCCAGTTGCTGCATTTTGCAGAAAATAGTCTATTTTGCAGGACCTCTCTGGGTGGAAAATTCCTGCATTGAATATATTCTTGATGCGCCCGTGACTTTTTTGAGTAATTGGCAGGGTGCGTGCTCCGGAGCAGGCTGTGCTTTTTGTGCGAGTGGGCACAGGGAGAGGTGATGCTGTGGTTGTATGAGTGTCCCTGCCCTGGGTCACCTTGGCAGGAGCTCAAGCAGGGAAGATCAGGCTCCTATTGACTGAGTTGCAAACAGTGAATAAGGAAGTGGCACCCGATTAAAATCTGGAGTGAAGGCGTCAGATGCAGGTTTGGTACCCAGGTGCCCCCTATGTCCCCTGTAGGTTTTTGGGGGATGACCCTGGCTATGCTGCCCATGGGCTGCCCATCTCCCTTGCTTGCATGGGGGATTGTCTTCTGGGATGAACTGCAGACCACCCAGGAACCCAGAGGGGAGCTGGACCTCTGCAAACCGTGACACCACGCCATGTCCCCCCAGGAGAAACGAGGGAAGGGACCAACACGGGGATACATGGACATGCCTCGGAGATGAAACTTTATGGAACAAGCGACACCCAAAAACCATGCAGCAAATGCTCCCAAAATTATGTCCCCGCATCATGCCTGGCTGGATGCTCAGTGCTGCCTGGTCCCTTCCAGGGAAAGGCAGTGGGAACGCAGTCTGGCTTTTAGCCTGGCTAAACTGTGAGCAGGAGATGGGGCACTTTTGGGTGGAAACTGAAACCTTTGAGGCTCTGCATGGCTGGCCAAGGGAGAGCCTGGGATGCTCAGATCCCCTCAGCAATTTTTTCTGAACCTCTTTTGGTTTGGAAATTGTGCTGAAAAACCTGAGACAGGGCCTCTGTGCATCCAAACTGATTTGCTGGCTCTGCTTTTGATTTGAGGCTAAGTGTAGGATGTAAAAAATAAGGTTGGCTAGCCCACCGCAACCCATTCTTGTGGTATTTTTTCCCCAGGCAGAGCATGGAATATTCCTACAGCTGCTCCAAGCAGTGGATTGGGTTATCTGGCCGCAGAGATGCTCATAAGATGTCTCCTGGATGCATAGGAATTTAACTTGCAGTCTGACACTGCAGTCTTGGCATCAGCTCTGGGGTAGGATGCTGATCCTATAAATGCAGCATATGAGTGCAGCATCTGAAGGCAGCACATAACTACAGAGTCAGGGCAAAAAAAATGCTAAAAACACTAAAAGTGCTGATTTATTTATTTCTTTTTTTTTCCCCCAGGATATGTTCATTTTTTTGAGGTTTGTTTCTTAGGCTGCTGAGGAGACCATCTACTGGGCAGACTGATGTAATTAAGGGGAACTTAATAGGAGTGATGGTGAATATTGTCATTTGTAATTAAGAGGCTGCTTTTCCAGCACAGTAGCGTTAAGGCATAGTGGAGGAGAGTCCCAGCTGGACAGACTTGTTCCCAAGCTGTAAATCAAGCTCCGCAGCTCTGATTTACAGCTTGGCCATGTGCTGTTACGGTCTCCGTCGTGGGGCTGAGGACTTGGGCTGCCCTCCTGGTTCTGCTCCTCACCACTGGAGTTGGTACTACGCAGTGCAGAGCCCCCCCGGATTGCCTCCTTCAAGGCCTCAGCTGCCAGTTGGCGGCTTTTGCCCTGTTTGTTCAGGACCTACCCTGGAAGAGTCATGTCGTGTTGAGCCCCTGGGACCCCCTGTCGTGGTTCCAGCCCAGCCGGTAACAAAGGACGACGCGGCCGCTCGCTCACTCCTCCCGCCCCCCTCCGGTGGGATGGGGGGAAAACGGAGGAGAGAAAAAAAAACAAACCTGGAACCTCGAGGGTTGAGATAAAGGCAGTTTACTGGAACAACACAAAGAAATTGCAACAACAACAACGGTACTAATGAAAAAGTATACAAAAAGAGTGATGCACAGTGCAACTGCTCACCCCCCGGGACCCGACGCTCTGCCACTTCCCCCACCGAAAAGAAGCGCCCACCCCCCGGCCCGCTCCCCATTTATATACTGAGCATGATGTCACATGGTATGGAATAGCTCCTTGGCCAGTTCAGGTCAGCTGCCCCGGCTATGCCCCCACCTCCCAGGTTCCTGTAAAAAAATTAACTCTATCCCAGCTGAACCCAGGACACCCCCGCCCCGCAGCCTGTCCTGCTCCGCAGCAACGGCGGTACGTAGCACCCAAGAGCTTGTGCGCAGTCCTGCATGGAGGTGGCTGGGGGCTCTCGTGGGCAGCTACCCCCTGCCCCAGGGCAGAAGCAGCCCCAGAGTCTAGGAGGTGAGCACCTTGCTGTCCTCAGCAAAGGCGGCTAGAGAACGATGCCTGGAGGGGAAAAGGAGGCTTAGTTTTGGGTGCCCTCCAGCTTGTGCCGCAGGGCATTGCCCCGCTGAGAGGGAGCAGGCTGGGGGGGCTGGGGGGGCTTGCGGGCAAACTGCTTCTTGTAGAGAGCGCTGCTGTACTGCAGCTCCGGGGTCACCAGCCGCCGGCACATGTGCTCCATCTCCTTGTCCAAGCCCTGCTTGAGGTTATAGCCCAAGATCTTTGCATTGCCGTGCTGCAGGGGCTGCAGGGAAGAGTCCTTGATGTCCCTCGGGGCCACGCTGCCCGTCCCTTGCAGGCAGGTCCTCGCCAGCTCTGCCTGCCTCTCCCGAAGCACCTTTACTTCCCGCTGCATGCGCTCCCTGCCAATGTCTCGGTCGATCCTTTCCCAGAAAGTCCTGTTGAAGTAGATATAGATTTCCCAGTCCAGCCTGTTCCAGTCCTTTATCTTCTCCACAATGGTGTCCGAGAGGTGGGACTTGGTGCTGCTGTCCCTGATGTTGAGCGGGAAGGAGACGACGCTGTCCAGGTCCCAGCACAGTATCTCCTTCAGCAGCACCATGGACTCGTCGAAGTACTCGGAGATGAGGAGCAAGTCAAAGGACGCCTCGATGGCCTTCAGCATGAGTTGCACCCGCTTAGCGGAGGCCTCTCCATTGGGGTTGAAGCCAAAGTCAAACGTCATGAGGTTCTTGGCATAGTGGCTGTCACTCTTTGCAGGGTTGTAGTAGTGGTAGGGCTGGCTGAGGAACTCCTCCAGGCTGCGAGCGCGGGAGAAAGCCGACGTGCCCTTGTAGTACATGAAGGAGGACTCCATAAGCTGCACAGGGTTCCTCAGGATGGAGAAGTAGACAGCTGAGCTGGATACCACTTTCTGCACCTGTGGAAGAGAAAAAGGAGGTTTTAAAGGTGGGGTGGGAGGAAGGACCTGCTTGCTCACAGTCCTGTGCTCTGCTGGCAAGCAGAAACCCTTGCTGGGGTTGGAGGTGGTGGGTGCTGGGGAGGGTTTCAGAGTGCAGCTCATCAAAGGAGCATTTGTGTCAGCTGTGGGGAGCCCCAGAAGAGGCACACAGGGAGAGCAGTGACCGAAGCTCCCTGCTACATGCTGCCACAGCTGGGTGGCCTGCCTGGACTTGAGATACATCCTATCTCCTTGCCTTTCCCCAGATCTGCGTGTCCTCAAGTGGCATCCAGAAAGGTGGATGCTGGGCATGGCTGACCTGAGCTGATGCACTTAAGGCATTCTCCTTTTGCAGCTGGTACCCTCCAGGCCTGTCCAGGGAGTAAGACATCTCCAAGGGCCCACCAGACAAGAATAAGATGATAGTTGCTGACTGCTACAGATGCTGTCCCCTAGCTTGTCTCGGGTCACAGCACAGAAGCTCTTAGGAGATGCCCATAAACATGCAAGGTACCTGGGGGCAATCCTGTCTCTCTTTAGCTTAATCCCTGAAGAGTTTACCTGCTCTATGGGTGTCCCACCTTGCTCCCCATGAGCCCTTCTCTCCCTCCCCTGTTCGCCCCTCCCGAGTCATTGCAGCTTTGCCTGTACCTCTGGCTGCAGGAATCTCATGTGGTGGCAGA